TAGTAATATTTTAATATTTAATAGGAATTTTATTGTGAATAGACTGATAAGATTTAAACAAATATATATTTATCACAATATGACGCAACTTTATCATCTCATGACCGTGTAATACAAATTATTATGCATACAGAATATACTGTTTAAAAATAATTATTTTATGTTAATTTTTAAAGTCTAACTAAACCCTTACACAAACTCTGCGAACACGAAACCAACAAGTGTCGTGTTAATGTGTTACATATAATTTTTACGCTAAAATCGTAAGGCGTCCATAGCAATGGATTTCTGTATGAAAACCGAGGAAAATTTATGTTTTCATAGGAGTTACTAATTACAGTTGCCTCGACCTATGGAGCATGGAAGAAATGGCTTTGTGTCTGGCTTCATTGCTCGCCTGAAGGACCGTGAAAAATCTGTAATTAACAGCACAGCTCACGGCTCGTTGAACGTGGCGTTACTGTGGACTGTAAATAATCAGCACAGATACACAGCGAAAAAAAGTACAGGAGCTTATCTAAGCTACGTGTTTATTAGAAATAAATTAAAATGAAAACGCGACTCTGTTCGAACAGCATTTGGAATCAAATCGAAATCAAAACAGCACGTTTAACAGATGATGTCTATCGTCTGCTGTAGGACATTTGGACAAAATCTGTGGATGTGACCGGAAGTTGACCCAGATAAATGTCTGGACAAAGAAAGTGGTCATTTGAGGAATGGCAACTTCACTGTTGCGTTCTCGTGCCACGAGTGGACAAGTGACCAGTCGCATGTCAACAATAGAAGATATTCAGTTTGCATTGTTGTGTGTCTAACTGGGGCAGTTTCTTCCTTGTTAAAAGACAAGAAGAAAGTAAATTAGCTGACATTTCATCGAGATATTTGTAAGTCACGATTTGTTTCCTCCTGTGTCTTATCGCACTCTGAAATGTAAAATACCACAATTCTTTTACGCGAACTCTGTGTCCATCAGACATTGATTTCCGTTTCCTGCCATCGGAAAAAAATGGATTCCTCATCTCCGGATCTCGTTTCTTACAATCAGAGTAATGCAATTCTTGTGTCAAATGTATCTCATCAATCACCATTTTATCCCCTCTCCCCCCCAATTTATAAGTTTCAGGCGTGGCATAAGAAATCCTCCCCTTGGAAATGATGGTAAATTTAACATTTATACAGTTAAAGTAGTGCCACGGTGGTCTAGCGGTTAGAACGCTGGGGTCTCGGGTTCGATTCCCGGCGGTGCCAGAATTTATAACTTGTGTTGGGCAAGGCCGTGGTCTAGGCAACACGGAGTTTTCCTCCGGGGGCCTCCCCGGTTTCTCCGTGGCATCCCAACAATTACTCCATTCACACACAGAAGAAGGCAATGGCAAACCACTTCTGGATCATCTGCCAAGAACGTATATGAACAGGTCCCAGTCCGAGAAAAGGATGGAAGGATCCTGTTTATATGGACCTGTCGTAAGACAGAACACTGAATAAATAAATACAGCTAAAGTAGCTATAGCTATTATTAGCAAACAAACATCTTCAGTGTGTCTTTCTTCAACGATGGAAATGCAATCGAAACATTTCCACGCTGCACCCTGTATTAATAGTCACAAGTAATCATTCGATATCCTCAGATTAAAACATACCGTTGTCGAGATCGTCACAAACTTCATCAGAAATTAGACTATTTAGCGTTTAAAGTTCGACACATAATTTTTTAAAAATAAATATTTTTCGAAAGCTGGATTATGGATTAGTCATAAGATAAAGGGGGCATGTGACCTCTCTGTTAGGGCACCCTGGTTGAGGTGATATCAGAACAAGTCTTCTCGCCCATTTTTATCTTATGACAAAATCAGAATCAAACTTTCGAAACTTAGTTACTTTATAACTTGGACGATGGACAATGTCCAAAATGAAGTTTTACACATCATACAGCGCTATTGTCAGAAACTCTCAAACTTCGCATATCATTCCACGAAACCGTGATATTAAATTCAATTTAACTTTGAAATTCCAAGTTACACTTGAAATTTTAATGAACAATTTAATATTCAAATGAAGGAACTGGCTCTTGGTATCCCCTAAAGTCACTTCCGTGAACTACGTTCACGGTGTGTGTGTGGCGAAAAGCGATCAAACCTCGCCGATTTACCCTTATCCTCACTAATTGAATGCTAAATTATTCGGGACCTGAATGGAGCAGGGCTGAAAGTAAAATTAAACAAATGAGCGAGAGAATGGCGCAACGTATAACATACTGTGGGACATTGGAAATTCCCAATGGCGTCGTCTTGATCCCGACGACACCAAACTCTCGCGGCCTGAAATGAGCTCCCATCCCATCAGCAGTAAAACCTTAATATTATTAAATGAAGGTATAAAATGGCGGGATGTTTCATGAAAATTTGACACAAACTCAACTTCTGAAATTCCACCCCATTTTCATTATATCTCCAGTTCCTGTAAAAAAAACTTTGAACAAAAAACACAATAGGAGAAAAACTTTAGGAATAGATTAGTATATTATAATGCGTTTTGACAATCTGATAGTAGCTTACGCAGCCAAGAAATGGGGCGTCTGCGTAAATGTCTTGCAATGGACAGTGAGTGGATTTTTCACAGATGAGTCCATATCCAGTTGTTTTAAAATGTAGTAAATTTTTTCTAGTGTCTAATACAGCGTTTCTCAACCTTTTCATCTTTGCGGTACCCTTGAAATAATATTCATGTCTCAGGGAACCCCTACATAAAAATTATTATATATCATTATTGATATCTTTATTTCTTTTTTATAAACTTAAAGTTCATAAGGAAAACTTAATATATTTTTTCTGATAGTTGGTTTACGTAAAAAATTACTTATGTTTTTTTCAAGTTTATTGAAAATACAAAAAAAAAACTGAAATCGAACTGCCTGTTCAAAAGACCTCATACGGAGGTTTTAATTCACATAAAAAATTAACATAAATAACCAATATCGTATATAACACATATAAACAGATAATAACTACTACAATAACTAAATAGTTTATTGACAATGTTAAAAAGTTATAAGATAAATCAAAGTAAAATGTCATATGAAGAAATATATGTGTCAAGGAAATGTTATTTTTGAAGCCAATTTAAATAATAGCGGTCATCACCGTCTTATTTTGTATCTTTATTTAGCGATAGGGGCTCATAAATTGAGACTGCTTTGTCACAAAACCCAGTTCCCCGTTTTTCATAACCTAACATCGTTCAACTATCGCTACATAATCAAACCCTGTCTTCAGACTGTCCGTACGCATCTCGTACGTAATCTGTTAATTAAATTGTGCAGTAGTTCACATGACTGACACCGCGTCGGCCTCAATTATCGCAGGCCAAACAGTGTCGCTGCAGTAGCCACAGCTTAAGCAGACACGTATGCTAATAAGACAAGAGTTTTTTCTCGTGTCAGCGGGACACGGTGGTACCAGATGCGAACAGTCTGGTTTAATGACAATGTTATGGGCTGTACCAACAAGTTGGGAAAATGCATACTTTAAAGCGTCTCTGCCAAACAAGTCGAGAGATTGGATGGGCATTACTTGGTCAGGACACAGTTGTGGCTTTATTTAAAGTACTATCCAGCGGAACTGAGGAAAATAACGAGAAATCTCAGTCAGAATAACCGGTGTCAGGGTTGAGATTTTAATCAAGGACCTTAAAAAAAATGTTCGTTTTATTTATTGGTTAAATGAGTGTCTGATAGCTTCTTATTAAGGACTCTGCTCCGTGTAGTTACTTTTATCTGAGATATTTGTCTTTCCAGGTATTGAAACGTGCTGTTGGATGAAGACGGACGTGAGGAATTTCTTTCGTCAAAACAGAAATTGGAGTAGAAGCATTTTATCGTCCTCGCTACGTATGTGAAAGGTCAGAGTTGTTAAAAGAGTAGTAAGTGCAAACAGAATTAAGCCTCCTCCCTTCATACTCTGCCTGATGTTAAGAGCTGAGACAAAAACTGAAAACGAAACCTGGCTGCCTAGAAAAAGGGCCTATGTTACAGACAAACTTAAGAACTCCTCCAAGTTGTTTACGTGCAACTGAATTCTAAAAAATCGAGTAAAGTAAACATAATAATCTTAATATTTCTTTTATTGTAAAGATTATATATTTATATACATTCGGGGAGTGAAAGTTTCCTTACGTATTTGTAAATTCTAAGAATAAAAAAAAATATATAATCTAATCAAAACGACACGAAAACCCACCTTTTTGGCAACGCCAGGTATTAGCAAAGAAATTATGTTTTCAAAATAACATCTGATCTGATTAAGAAAAAAAAATTATATAATACTGTCATGTATTCTTTTTTTAAATTAGGATTTTGGAAAGAATAACGAAACATTTTTGGTACAGAAGAAAATATATTTTAGAACGAGACATTTTTATGTAATTGTGGTTGTCTGATATTGACATACTTTTTTTGTCAAACAAGGTCGCAGGTCCACGCAACCTGTTTCAAAGTAATTCTTCAAGTTGAACCTTCTCAATTACAAGCAGAAAAACTGGAAACAGTTTCGTAGTTTCATTTATAATCATTTCAGGATTTATACGAAACTGGCACGAATAGGGCAACAGTTAATTAGACTATTGAAAGTTGAAGCTAAAATTTGTATTAAAATCCGTAATTTGTTCCTTATATATTTTACGTCAAATTAGTTCACCACAAATAACCATCGGTGTAAAATTCTAACACAGCTACGGAAGACGGACTAAATCGTATACTTTTTCATTGTTAACAGAATAAATAATACGTGCATTTCTTGTTAACAATAAGTCACAGTACATTTGAGGTGTTAAATCACCTCGCGAACTGTTGCCACAACAACCAACACAATTGTCGAAAGAGGAACGCATTTTTGGGGCTGTAGGACACCCAAAAAGAAATCTCAGTCAGACAAAAAACAAAACACAAACAAG